ACTGCGGGCATTTGAGGAGTTAATCAGAGGATGGAAGCTCTCATTTTCTTGCTCTCTCTCTCTCTCTCTCTACCTCTCAAACAAATAAAGAAAAATATAAAATAAATTAATAAATTAGTTGCTTGGAGCAGGCATTTGGTCAGGTTGTTAAAATGCCAATTGGGATGCCCAAGTCTCTAAGTTCAATGCCTGGCTCCTGACTCCAGCTTCCTGCAGATTTGGACACAGGAAGGCAGTTTTGATGGGTCAATTAACTGAGTTCCAGTCACCCACGCAGGACATCTGGATGGAGTTCCCAGCTCCCAGCTTTGGCACGGCCCAATCTTTGCATTTGTGGGCGTTTAGGAAGTGATAGGAGCTCTCTCGTCTTTGTATTTCTGCCTCTCAGATAAATAAACTCACTACTACCTGGCTGCTCCTCTTTCGATCCAGCTCTCTGCTGTGGCCTGGAAAGGCAGTGGAAGATGGCCCAGATCCTTGGCCCCTGCACCCACGTGGGAGACCCAGAGGAGGCTCCTGGCTCCTGGCTTTGGATCAGTGCAGTTCAGGCTATTGTGGCCATCAGGGGAGTGAACCAATGGATGGAAGACCTCTCTCTGTCTCTGCCTCTCTCTGTAACTTTGTCTTTCAAATAAAAATCTTTAAAAGAATTTTTTTAAATGCTATATTTTGTATAGAATTCCTAAGTAAAATGTACATTTTTTTTAAGATTTATTTACTTTTATGAAAATCAGAGTTACAGAGATAAAGAGACTTCCACCTGCTGGTTCACTCCCCAAATAACAGGAATGGCCAGGAATGGGCTAGGCCGAAGCCAGGAACTCAAGTCTCCCGCATGGGTGCAGGGGTCCGAGGACTTGGGCCATCTTCTGCTTTTCCAGACACATGAGCAAGGAGCTGGATCAGAAGTGGGATAGCCAGGACTCAAACCAGCACCCATATTGGATGCCACAAAATGCCAACCCCTACATGAAAACTTTTAAGACAAAAAAAGGCAAGACAATAACCACATCTAAGGAAAATTAAAAGTTGCACAAAAAAAAAATTGCATTCATTGAACATTATTTAGTTCAAGTACAATATTTGTATAATAGCAACAAAAAATAGTGATTTAATCCCAAAATTAGTGACTATATTGGAAGCATAACAGAAAAGATATATAGGTATTTAAAAGAGTCAAATGTTGGAGCCGGCGCTGTGGTACAGTGGGTTAACGCCCTGGCGTGAAGTGCCAGCATCCCATATGGGTGCTGGTTCGAGACCTGGATGCTCCTCTTCCTGTCCAGCTCTCTGCTATGGCCTGGGAAAGCAGTAGAAGATGGCCCAAGTCCTTGGGCCCCTGCACCCCCATGGGAGACCAGGAAGAAGCTCCTGGCTCCTGGCTTTGGATCGGCGCAGCTCCGGCCGTTACAGCCAATTGGGGAGTAACCATCGGATGGAAGACCTCCCTCCCTCTCTCTCTCTCTCTCTCTCTCTCTGCCTCTCCTCTCTCTGTGTAACTCTGACTTTCAAGTAAAAATAAATAAATGAATCTTTTTAAAAAAAAGAAAAATAAATATTAATAGTGGTTATTTCTAGGTGGTGAGAATATGGGTATTTGTTTTACTATTTTTTTACAGTTTTAAAATTTCTCATACTCCTTCCTTCAAAGTTTCCAATATAAGTGGTTTTTGGACCAGTTATGGTTCTGTGTGCCTTTCTTGGAGTGTCCTCAACTTTGTCAGTGTTCATTTAAACCAACACCTAAAATCTGTTTCCAAACCTTTTATACAAAAATATATTGGAACTGCCTGGGATTCCAGCATCCTATTTGGGGGGGCAGTTCAAGCCCTGGCTGCTCCCCTTCTGATCCAGCTCCCTTCTAGCAGCCTAAGAAAGAAGTGGAAGATGGCTCAAGTGCATGGGCCCCTGCAACCATGTGGGAGACCTGGAAGAAGCTCCTGGCTCCTGCCTTCAGCCTGGCTCAGCCCTGGTTATGCGGCCACCAGGGGAGTAAGCCAGCAGATGGAAGATCCCTCCCTCCATCTCTTTCTCTCTCTCTCTGTAACTCCAACTTTTTTTTAAAATGAATTTATTTATTTGAGAGGCAGAGTTACCAACAGAGAGAGGGAGAGACAGAGAGAAAGAGATCTTATAACCATTGGTTCACTGCCCAAATGGCTACAACAGCCAGAGCTGGGCCGATCCAACGCCAGGACCCAGGAGCTTCTTCTGGGTCTCCCACGTGGGTGCAGGGGCCCAAGCACTTAGGCCATCTTCTGCTGCTTTCCCAGGCTATTAGCAGGGAGCTGGATTGGAAGTAGAGTAGCTGGGACTTGAAACGGCGCACATATGGGATGCCAGCACCACAGGTGGAGGTTTAACCTACTATGCCACAGCACCAGCCCCAACTCTTTCAAATAAATAAAAAAAAAAAGACTGTAAGTAAATATAATTACTCAATGCTTTATATATTCAATTAATCAACCAAACATATTTCACTACATATCAGCCAAAAGTATATCATGAAAGAATGTGTGGCCAGTGCCATGGCTCACTAGGCTAATCCTCCGCCTAGCGGCGCCGACACACCAGGTTCTAGTCCCGGTCGGGGCGCCGGATTCTGTCCCGGTCGCTCCTCTTCCAGTCTAGCTCTCTGCTGTGGCCCGGGAGGGCAGTGGAGGATGGCCCAAGTCTTTGGGCCCTGCACTCCATGGGAGACCAGGAGAAGCACCTGGCTCCTGCCATCGGACCAGCATGGTACGCCGGCCGCAGCAGCCATTGCGGGGTGAACCAATGGAAAAGGAAGACCTTTCTCTCTGTCTCTCTCTCACTGTCCACTCTGTAAAAAAAAAAAAAAGACTGTAAAGCAGATTAAATGAAATTTTATTTATTTACTCTTTATTTATGATAGAGCGAAAGTTCTCCTAACCTGCTAGTTCACTCCCCAAATGCTAGCAACAGCCAGGGTTCAGTCAGGCAGAAGCCAGGAGCCCAGAATTCCACCTGGGTCTCACTTGAGGGTGGCAAAGATTCAACTACTTGATCCATCATCTGCTGCCTCCCAGGGTGTGTATTACCAGGAAGCTGGATCAGAAGTAGAAGAGTCAGGACTCCAATATGGGTTGGATGCATTCCAAGCAATGTCTTAACCACAACACCAACACCCACTCCTGATTCATTAAATCTAGAACAATCACCTGATGTAGAAACCTCATAATCCTAAACAAAAATAGAAGTACTTTGTTTTAATGTTCAACATGTTCACACTTAATTGCTTTGCTGCTAGATTTGCAACTAATTTTTTAAAGTATATCCCATTATTTTGCATTTTTGATGTGAGTCAGAATTTTGACAGCTTTTATGTAGGACAAAAATATTTTTAGATTTGTGTATTTGCATATGTTTGCATCAAGCTAGCAGCTAAGAGGTTAACTGTATAACTGTTAAAAAAAGAAAGTTTGCCTAAAGTGTATTTAAAAAGAAAAATGTAAGTAGCATTTATATTTACTCAAATATACTACCATATGCTGGATTTCTATATCAGAAATGGCCAGTTGATGTACAAATGTACGTTAATTTTCCTTAAATTCATTTAAATTTTTTAAAATAAAGGGGCTTCTAAATAAAATAAAAAAAGTAATGGAATGCCAAAACAGAAGTCATTTGTCATGATCAATCAATACATACTAACTCAGCTGGCGCCAAGGCTCAATAAGCTAATCCTCCGCCTCCAGCGCCGGCATACTGGGTTCTGTCGCGGTTGCTCCTCTTCCAGTCCAGCTCTCTGCTGTGGCCCAGGAGTGCAGTGGAGGATGGCCCAAGTGCTTGGGCCCTGCACCCGCATGGGAGACCAGGAGAAGCACCTGGCTCCTGCCTTCGGACCAGCGCGATGCGCCGGGCAGTGGCCATTGAGGGGTGAACCAACGGAACAGGAAGACCTTTCTCTCTGTCTCTCTCACTGTCCACTCTGTCAAAAAAAAAAATACCTACTAACTCTTCAAATTCTACTCAATATCTTGAGTTAGTTTCTAGTTTATAATTTGCTATACACTTTCTACCTTGAGAACTATTACTCTTGCTCACAATAATTATCTAACACTTTTTTAATGGGATTTTTTAAAAGATTCACTTATTTATTTGAAATGCAAAGTTATAGAGAAAGAGAGGGGATGGGGGGAGTGGGAGATATCTTCCCAAAATGGCTGCAATGGCTAGGGCTGGGCCAGGCTGAAGCCAGGAGCCAGGAGCTTCATTGGGGTCTTCCACATGGGTACAGGAATCCAAGTACTTGGGCCATCTTGTAGAAGCTGCTTTTCCCAGGTACATTAACAGGGAGCTGGATTCAAAGCGGAGCAGCTGGGCCTCAAACCTGCACGCATATGGGATGCCAAAACTGTAGGCAGCAGCTTTACCTGCTATACTATAGAGCCAGCCCCAAAATTAGAATTCTAATTATGACACTGCACTACAGTTTTGCAAGTTGTTATACTGGGAGAAAGTATGTAAAGGGTAAATTAGATCACTCTATATTAGTTATCATAACACTGTATGTATATAGGATTATCTTAAAAGTAAAATTTAAAATAGTATATTATTGATTTTTTTCCTAAATCAATTTAGTTTTTAAGAACCTTACTTAAACTGAATGGGAAAGTTCAGATACTCAAAACAAAACAAAACAAGCTCATGCAGAGGAGCTCTGGCATCCAGCAGAGTAGACTTCAACTGTGGGAAAGTCTTGCCAACCAAAGCCCTAGAACAAGCCATAAAGACCTCAGACATGAGCAAGGAGCTCCCAGGATCCTTACTTCCAAAGCAATGAAATCAGTCAAGACAATATAGGAAAGAACTTACTAAGTCACCTCAAAAAGAACCATGAGTTTTCCTCAGCCCACAAAACACATTACTGCAATCCAACTTACAGAAAGCCTGAGTGTGTGTGTCACCTTCAACCTGATATTCACAGCCATACATTTCAAAAGATTCACAAATATGCTTTTTTTCTTTTAGCTACTCACAAAGTGCCTGAAGCTTCAATCACTTCCTGCTTCTCCCAGCTGCGGGACTTGCAATTAGAAAAACACTCATTCAGCGTCTAGGGCAGGTCTGGTTAGAAGGATGAGCTCATCCCTTCAGATGCGCACCTGATCCTGAAGAAGCTGCTCCTCCTCCACCAAGCAGGTCTTTGTATGTTTAAAGTGACACCCACAACTGTGCAAACCTTCGGCCAGAGCTAAAACAAGCCCTTCCCTCTCCACGCCTAGGGCCCTGAAATCATTTCCTGCTCTAGACACTTCACATAGCCACTGAATTCAGACAGCAGTGGCCCTGGCTGCTGCTGAGCAGGACTTCAGTTTCAGCTCTAATGGAGGTCAGGTCTTTCACCACCACCCTGGACACATTGTGTTGTTTGTCTCAATAGTTCCTTGCCTACAGTCAAATCGTACCAGAATCACCCCTTCTTTCAGAATTCACAACCCATTTTCCTGAACCAGGAATGTAGGGTCTCTATATTTTTCCTATTCTATTTGTTCTGCCTACACATCTAAATCAGCCAAGGCATCTAAATGCACTGTACACAGTTATAGCCTAGTGCTACAAACTTAATAGTTCTACTACCTTTAAGAAAACATTTACTCTGCTACAGTTGTCCACTTATTGGTACAGCACATACAATAATCTTTGTATCAGAGTCTATCTCTGATAAGATGATGAACTGGGCTTTTTCAACAGTAACAGTAAAAATCTGAGAGAACCTTTCTCACCTTAGCCTTCCACAGGACCACTGCAATATTTTTACCTCAGCTATGATAAGTTTCTTATGTGGTAACAGGCTATCTAAAGAGTATATGAGTCAGAGAACATCAAATTCATTAGTGGTTACCCTTGAAGGATGTCCAGGGATTTGCAATCAATAAGGCGGAACCCAGAGACCTTCAAATGATTTCATGGCGTTTAATTTGCTGGATAGTGGATACTAGGATGTTCATTGTATTATTCTTTTAAAATCTTTTAAAACACATAATACAGAGGCCAGCGCTGTGGCATGGCAGAGCCACTGCCTGCCATGCTGGCATCCTGTACGAGCACTGGTTCGAGACCTGGCTGCTCCACTTCTGATCCAGCTCTCTGTTGTGGCCTGGGAAAGCAGTAGAAAAGGACCCAAGTCCTTGGACCCCTGCACCCTTGTGGGAGACCCAGAAGAAGCTCCTGGTTCCTGGCTTCAGATCGGCTCAGTTCCAGCCGTTACGGCCATTTGGGAAGTGACCCAGCGGATGGAAGACTCTCTCTCTCTCTCTCTCTCTCTCTCTGCTTCTCTGTAGCTCTACCTTTCAAATAAATAAATAAATCTTAAAAAAAAAATACACACACATAATTTAGAAAACAAAAACAGGGGAAGGCATATAGCTTTATTAAGATTAAATTGCTAGTTAGGATGTCCACATTCCATATTTGAGTTACTATATTCAATACCCATCTCTAGTTCCTAAGGCAGACCCTGGGAGGCAACAGTGATGACTCAAGTAACTGGATTTCTGCCAGCTGCATTGAGGTTCCCAGCCTCTGGCTTTGCCCTCAGCCCAGTAAAGTTGGGGGACATTTGGGAGAATGAACCAACAGATGGAAGCACTCTCTTTTTTAAATAAATATTTTTTAAAAGATATATTTTATTTATTTGAAAAATAGAGCTACAAAGAGAAGTAGAGAGAGAGATGTCTTCTATCTGCTGCTTCACTCCCCAAGTGCTGCAACAACTGGAGCTGAGCAGATCCAAAGCCAGGAGTCAGGAGCTTCTTACGGATCTCCCACATGGGTACAGGGATCCCAAGAATATAGGCCATCTTCTCCTGCTTTCCCAGGTGCATTAGCAGGGAGCTGGATAGGAAATGAATTAGTTAGGACTCAAACCAGCGCCCATATGGGATGCTAGTGCTGCAGGCCAGGGCTTTAACTTGCTGTACCACATCACCGGCCTCCAAATAAATACATTTTTAAAAAGAGATGACATGCATGTATCAAACAACACAATAAAAGTAAAGGGGGCCAGCGCTGTGGCATAGCGGGTAAAGCCGCCACCTGCAGTGCCAGCACCCCATATGGGTGCCAGTTCAAGTCCCAGCTACTCCTCTTCCAATCCAGCTCTCTGCTGTGGCCTGGGAAAACAGTGGAAGATGGCCCAACTCCTTGGACTCCTGCACCCATGTGGGAGACCCAGAAAAAGCTCCTGGCTTTGGATTGGTACAGCTCAAGCCATTGTGGCCATCTGGGGAGTGAACCAGCGGATGGAAGACCTCTCTCTGTCTCTACCTCTCTCTGTAACTCTGTCTTTCAAATAAATAAAATAAATCTTACAGCTTGGAGATTCACATTCCAAGATCAGGTGGCCCTATTAATCTAGCATCTGGAAGAGGCTGGCAATGGTAGAGCATGTGCAAAGGAATGATCAGGGGCAAGCCAGGAAGTAGAGGAACAGAAAGCACACTTAGCTTATACATCCAATGCCAGTTCGAGTCCCTGGCTGCCCCACTTCCAATCCAGCTCTCTGCTATGGCCTGGGAAAGCAGTAGAAGATGGCCCAAGTCCTTGGGCCCCTGCACCCATGTGGGAGACCCAGAAGAAGCTCCTAGCTCCTGGCCCCCACCTTCGGTTCACCCAGCTCTGGCTGTTGCAGCTGTTTGGGGAGAGAACCAACAGATGGAAGACTATTCTCTCCTCTGCCTCTGCTTCTGTGTAACTTTGCCTTTCAAATAAATAAAATAAATCTTATTAAAAAAAAAAAAGAACATAGCTCCAAATACTAAGAATGGTAGTTTACAAATAAAATCATTTATGAGTCATATTCTGCAGAAAATTTGCAGTCTGTGTTAAATTACATTAGCCCATTCCTAAGGCTTATTCAGAAAGGGTGGAGATAAACATTAAAAAAATTAAGAAATAATCCTTCAGAGGAATAAATGTGCTTCATTAAGTTGTTGTTGTAAGAATTAAATAGGTTACTACATGTAAAGTGTTGAGAGTAGTTCCTGGCACATAGTACTCTTCAACAAAAGTTATTCAAACTTGCTCCATTTTCTCATATCCCTTTATAACCCTCTTGAATCAAAAATGTCAAAATTAGCTTGTGTTTTTTGTTTTTTGTTTTGTTTTGTTTTTTTGACAGGCAGAGTGAACAGTGAGAGAGAGAGAGACAGAGAGAAAGGTCTTCCTTTTGCTGTTAGTTCACCCTCCAATGGCCGCCGCGGCCGGTGCGCTGTGGCCGGCGCATCGCGCTGATCCAAAGCCAGGAGGCAGGTGCTTCTCCTGGTCTCCCATGCGGGTGCAGGGCCCAAGCACTTGGGCCATCCTCCACTGCACTCCCGGGCCATAGCAGAGAGCTGGCCTGGAAGAGGGGCAACCAGGACAGAATCTGGCGCCCCGACCGGGACTAGAACCCAGTGTGCCGGCGCCGCAAGGCGGAGGATTAGCCTATTGAGCCACGGCGCCAGCCAAAATTAGCTTGTTTTTAACACAAACACAAAAAGTATCTTAAATAACTGTATGTAGTTCACAGGTAATTTTACAATCACTATCTTTCAACAATTAAAATAGTTCAATGAAGCAAAAAACTAAAATTTAAGTGCCTATTAAATAATAGCTACTATTCTAAGAACTGACAACTATTGATTCCCTTAATTTATTGGTTTTTTTTTTTTTAATGTCTATCTATTTTCCTCTGCTTAAAGGCAGAATGGCAAAGAGAAACAGATCTTCTATCCATTGATGCACTGTTCAAATGCCCACAACAGCCACAGCTGAGCCAGGCAGAAACCGGGAGCCTGGAACTCCATCCAGGTCTTCCAGGGGGATGGCAGGAGCCTGAGTACTTGAAGCATCATCAGCTATCTTCCCAGGATGTATCAGGAGGAAGCTGTGTCAGAAGCAGAGGTGCCAGGACACAAACCAGCATTCCAATATGGGATGTGGGTATCCCTAGCAGTGGCTTAACTCTTCTGAGTCACAAGGCCCAACCCCACATGGGTTCTTACTACCTAATTTCACAGATATGAAGACTGAGGTTCAGAAACATTTAGTAATACACATAACTTCCCATAGAACTTTTTTTTTTTTTTTTTGACAGAGTTATCGACAGTGAGAGAGAGAGAGACGAAGGTTCACCCCTCTCAAATGACCGCTATGGCCGGCGCTGTGCCGATCCAAAGCCAGGAGCCAGGAGCTTCTTCCAGGTCTCCCACGTGAGTGCAGGGGCCCAAGCACTTAGGCCATCCTACACTGCCTTCCTGGGCCACAGCAGAGAGCTGGACTGGAAGAGGAGCAACCAGGACTAGAACCCAGTGCCCATATGGGATGCCGGCGCCACAGGTGAAGGATTAACCAAGTGAGCCACGGTGCCACCCCCCTGCCCCCCCCATAGAAGTCTTAAGTGAAAGGACTGAGATCTGAATTCTGACTGGCTTCAAAGAGCACAGTTTGTGACTAAAACTATTTTTAAATACTGTGAAAGATAGCCTCTCATTCTCTTTATTTGTTCCTTCATTCACTCTCTATTCATTCCTTCAATCAATCAATTCAATGGTACCAGGCACCCTGTAATAAGGTAGTTATACAGTAAATAAATAAAACAGCCTCGATTCTCAGAGCCTAGAAACTGTGTTTGCGGAAAGGGAGGGAAGCATATCAAGTACAACACAATTGTGTAAGAGCTCAGTAACAGTAGTATAAGCAGTATGAGATTCAAACACATAGGATAAATACTTACTCTGCTTGGAACAATCTGGAAAAGCATTATAACAGAAATAATATCTCAGCTGAATTTTTTAAAAGATTTTTTATTTATTTGAGAGGTTAAGTTACATAGAGAGGGAGAGACAGAGAGAGAGAGGTCTTCCATCCGGTGGTTTACTCCCTAAATGGCCACAACGGCCAGCACTGGGCTGATCCAAAGCCAGGAGCTAGGAACTTCCTTTGGGTCTCCCACATGGGTACAGGGGCCCAAGCACCTGGCCCATCCTCTGCTGCTTTCCCAGGCCATTAGCAGGGAGCTGTACCAGAAATGAAGCAGCCAGGTCTCAAACCAGTGCCCAATGGGATGCTGGCGCCCAGGTGGTGGCTTTACCCACTATACCACAGCACCAGCCCCTTCAGCCAAATTTTTTAAATATTTGATTACAACCTGATAAAGAGCATCTACCAAACAAAACAAAGCAAAACATTACAGCTGTCAGGATTGTAGCGTAGCAGGTTAAGCGACCACTGTGATGCTAGCAACTCATATGTGTGTTGGTTTGAGTCCCAGTTGCTCTGCTTCTAATCCAGCTCCTTGCTAATGTGCCTGAGAAGGCAGCGGAAGATGGCCCATATACTTGGACCCCTGCCACCCAAATGGGAGAGCTGGATGAAGTTCCTGACTCCCTGCTTTGGCCTCGCCTGGCTGTTGAGGCCATGTGAGAAGTGAACTAGCAATGTAAATTCTCTGAATTTTTCCCTGTGGCCAGGCCAAATCAGGAGCCTGGAACTCAATTCAGGTCTCCTACATGGGTAATGGGGACCAAAGTACTTGAATCATCACTGCTGCTGCCTCCCAGGGTACATATTAGCAGGAAGGTAGAATCAGAAATGAAGCCAGGGAGCCAGTGCTCTGGCGTAGCGGGTAAAGCCACCACCTGCAGTGCCAGCATCCCATATGAGTGCTGGTTCAAGTCCCAGCTGTTCCACTTCTTTCTTATCCAGCTTTCTGCTATGGCCTGGGAAATCAGTGGAAGATGGCCCAAGTCTTTGAGCCCCTGCACCCGCGTGGGAGACCCGGAAGAGGTTCCTGGCTCCTGGCTTCAGATCAGCACAGTTCCAGCAGTTGTGGCCATCTGGGGAGTAAACCAGAAGATGGAAGACCTCTCTCTCTCTCTCTGCCTCTCCTTCTCTCTCTGTGTAACTCTGACTTTCAAGTAAATAAATAAATCTTAAAAAAAAAAAAAAAAGAAGAAGAAGAAGAAGAAGAAGTGAAGCCAGGACCCAAACCCAAGCACTCTAATATGGAATGCAGGTTTCTCAAGCACCATCTCTCTCTTTAAAAAAAAATTTTTTTTTAATTTATTTATTTAAAGGCAGAGTTATAGAGCAGCAGAAAGAGCAAGAGAGGTCTTCCATCCACTGGTTCACTCCCCAACTGGCTGCAATGCTAGAGCTGCACTGATCCGAAGTTAGGAGCCAGGAGCTTCCTCCAAGTCTCCCATGAGGGTGCAGGGGCCCAAGGACTTGGGCCATTTTCTACTGCTTTCCCAAGCCATAGCAGAGAGCTGGATCACAAGTGGAGCAGCTGGGACTTGAACCGGTGCCCATGAGATGCCAGCACTGCAGGCAGTGGCTTTACCTGCTACACCACAGCACCTCAAGCAGTGTCTTAACTTCTGTGACAAATGCCTGGCCCTAAATTTAAAACTCCGATGAAAATATGATCGGTAACTGGCTTTACATTAACCTATATATTAGAATTTATTTTCAGTATTATTTCTAGTGGGAGCAATAGTTTCTTCCTATCAGTTAAATGCTCTTTTTAGTAGTTCATGTTATATTTCCAGCTCCATAATCAATCATTCCTGACCCAGAGCTTCTACCAGG